CCACATGCACTGGCACTGGCGGGTTAGAACCAGGCCTGGGCCTGCCAAACAACAACGACAACAACAACAAAAAATAGCCAGGCGTTGCAGTGGGAGCCTGTAGCTATTGCGAGGCTGAGTCAAGAGAATCTCTTAAGCACAAGAGTTTGAGGTTGCCATAAGCTGTGACACCACGGCACTTTACCCCAGGCGACATAGTAAGACTGTCTCAAAAAAATAAAATAAAATAAATTGGCAAAAGCTTTATTTTCCCAGATGGCTAAAATGAGATCAAAGAAAGTTACCAAGATCATGAGGTTTATCGTACAAAACCTATCATTCACCTCCACCCTTAGAGCCTTTCTCCACCAAGCATTGCTGCCTCCCCTGTTTCGAGGCCTCCACTGACGTGAGTTGTGTTGAGCTTTCCTATAGCAATGAGCTCCCCCGTCCCCCATGGACACTCAGGTGAAACTGCCTCTAGTTCAGTTTTACACAGTTCCTCCAACTTGTAATTCTTCACCTTCTAAGGCATCCAACAAGTAAAGATTAGAATTGTCTCAAAGGGTATGGTGTATAGATAAGTTCCCCCTCTCTTCCTGACCTCTACTCCAAATCTCCTTTCCCCAAAACAGCCATTCATTTCTTGAGAAGATGTAGTCTGTACATATATAATATACATAGATTATTTTGCTTTTCTAAATTGCCAAAGCCCACAGAATTCCCAGAAATGTAATTTTCCCAGAATCAGACATCCAGGCAGTTTTGTGGAAAGACACAAGGTATCAGTGGTATCAAACCTAGAGAGACATTTGCCTCATTTTAAGATTCTGTCATCTTTTCTGAACCCTTGTTTAGCCTCTGTGTCATCCTGAAGCAACAGCTTTCATAAAAGCACTATTCACTGAATTAAAACAGTATTTCATCATGTTTCTGGAAACTATTTTTTAAGCTTCAAGAGGAAGCCCAGAGCTTTAGTAATTCAGGATCTATTGAGCCAGGCCATACTGGCCCTTTCCATGTGCTTCATTATTTAGTAGACTTTGAACCTGTCTTCTCTAAGCCCTTGGCCTTCTGGACCAAGTAGTCTTCATAGCTAAACAAATGAGAAAAACATTGCTCTTGATAGCTAAAAGAAGGCACCTGAAAAACATAATTACAGCCTCGGGCAACATGAACATTCTAAATTTTTAAAATCAGGTATGTGACAGGTTTGCTAAAACAGGGCATTAGCAATCATGCGTGTGGTAACTAAACCCTATTTAGAGCAACAAGAGCGATCACGCTAGGAAGGCTTGGTGGCTGCCACTGGCAGGCTCGGTTAAACATTAGCTGCTTTTAGGCTCAGCAGTTTCTGTCCTCCAATCATTCCCTTCTCCACTTTTCCCTCCATTCCTTCTCTTTAAGTCAAAATTCATTATCCACAGGGCCCGAAGGGCAAGAACTCAGACCCTGGAGGCAGGCAGACCTGGGTTTGAATCCTGGTTCTCACTAATTAGCTGTGCAGCCTAAGCCAAGTTGCTTGAACTCATTACTCCTCCATTTTCTTATGTGTAAAATGAGAATGACAAAATCAGTTTTCTTATATGGTTTATTAAGAGGGTTAAATGGCCTAAGTTTTATAAAGCACTAAATGTGATGTCTTCCAGCAGGACTAGCTATGTATTTGTGGGTTCCAATGCAAAATGAACATGGAGAGCCCCCTGTTCAAAAATTAAGAATTTCCATTGTGTAGGGGGAAGGGAGGGATAGGGAGCAACTTATTAAAAGATACCATATTACAGCCAGATAGGAGGAATAAATTTTAGTTTTCTATAGCCCTGTAGAATGACTACAGTAACAATAATGTATTACATACAGCAGAACCTCTGTATGTTGACCACCCAAGGGAACAAACTGATCAACCTACAGAGGTAGTCACTGTAAAGTACTGATACATACATGAGGTGCATGTCCAGTCTATGAAAATTAGGTCACTTAAGGAGGTGGTCAATGTGGGGAGGTAGTCAGCTATAGAAATTCTACTGTAGTTTCAAATGGCTAAAGAGAGGACATTGAATATTCCCAACACAAAGAAACAATAACTTTGAAATGTGCTGATGACACTGATCTGATCACAATACATTATATGTATCAAAACATCACTATGTATCCCATGAATATGTACAATTATTATCTGCCAATTAAAAACATAACATTAAAACTAAAAGACAGTAACAGCAGAACATCAAACCAAGGGCAGGGCCCTGGGGCACCACATAGCGGCATGCCCTCCCTCTCCAATGGTGAACACTCCACAGCTGGTAGCTGTCATCATCTACCACTCTCCCAACTTACATCGGCACCTCACCCTCCCTGCGGGCTCTTCAACTTGGAAAGTTTTACTGGGTCATTCCAAAAACAGGTACTCATGTTTCAGAAATAACCCAACCTGCATTTATAAGGAAAATAACCCACCCAAATGGAGGAAACAGAAAATCCATCTTCTAAAACAGAAGATGATATTACCACAGGCTCAACCCAAACACACCCCCACCTTGGAGCCTCTGCTCTGGCTTTTCACCCTGCTGAGCAAACACTCTCACCTCCTTCAAATCTTTGTTCAGGTCCATTTTCTAGAACAGGCTTATTCTGATCACTCAACTACATCCCTTCCTTTGCGCTTTCCTATCCTGTATTCTCTATCCACTCGCCTGGGTCTACTTTTACTGTTTCCGTAGCATTTACATCATCTAACACACAGCACCACTTACTTCTCTATTATGTTCATTTATTATCTTCTACACACCCCTCCCAAAAAAGTAAGCTTCTAGAGTATAGGAATTTTTGTTTAGAATAGTGTGTGACACAAACAAGATATTTAATAAATATTAATTGAAGAAAAATAATACAGTAGGGTCTCCATAGTTGACTACCTCCTTAAGTTCGCCTAATTTTCACAGACTGGACATGTACCCCGTGTATGTATCAGTATAGTAGGCCTAGTTCCTTATGTTGTCTACCTTGGTATATTGACCAGTTTGTTATAGTTTCTTGGGTGGTCAACGTACAGAAATTCTGCATATTTTTGAAAGAATGTATCATCAGACTATACTTTTTCCACATGGAGAGTTGGCTGGAGGTTAGGCCATCCCACATTGTAGACAAATGGCAATAAGAATCACTTTTGCCACTGATAACCAACAGAGTTCAAGATATAGATGGGAATGTTATCTGTGTTCACATCTCTACCAAAGTTCCCTTAGTTTGAAAACAATATGAATATAATCCAATCGTCTGTGCTCCTATACCCAATATCTCTTTCAATAGTAGCCCACATGCGGTTTGTTGCACTGACTCATAGCAATGATTAGTGGCATTTTATATGAGTGAGCTGTTCAGAAGAGACGTGCGCCAAAGTGGAGGACATGAGCATTTTTTTAAAAACTAGGATTAGAAGAAAAATACTCACACATTACTGCTTTATTATCTGGTGATGGAAAAACTAACCTATCAATATCAAAAAGAATGTAAGGTCTCTACCCTTAAAACTGTGCATACAGATTGTCGTTAGAGAGCCCCTCCCCCAAGCTGTTTTTCCTGGAGTTAATGCCACAGTCACAGGTAGCATCTCAGACCCTGGCCTGGGATCTCACAAATGCAAGCCACAGGGCCCAGGAAGGGCAATGAAATGCCTATGCATAATTCATCCACCAGCTGTAGTATTACAGCTGCGGGATAAGATATTTTCACAATCAGAGAGAAGAACTACAGATGGTTAAAATGCAGACCATGTCAGTAGAAACATCTGCAGCACCTACAATCAGAAAATACTTAAGGGCCAGTATGCCCCACCTACTTTACTGAGGTCAAGAAGCACATTTGGGCCCCCAATCCAAAAGCAGCCCACATGGTCTCCTCTGGACAGGCACAGTAAGCAAAACCCAGACGATCAGATTGAACATCTGGATTTTGCCCCAGCAGGAACTACCACTCCCTCTCAGCCTTGCACATTTTTTAAACAAGCCATTCACAGCCACCACAAATGCTCGGTGGGAATCAGCAGGGAAGCCCTCATCCCTGGTCTCAAAATAACGTCAGCCAGAGTTAAAGGCCAAAGAGGTGGAGCCTGCAGGCCATTTTGCTAAAAGTTTCAAATATCCCAGTACTGACCCCAGGAAAAGAACCGTGAAGGGGAAGGAGCCAAGCCTCTCTTTCGCCTTGGTGCCCCTCCCTTCATTATAATCGTCTAGAAAGAAACAGATTTTGCGTCGTCAAATTATCAGCGCTGGCTGTTAGCAACAAATTTTGCAAACTTAACACCGCAAAGTTGAAATTTAAAACTTTAAAATATGCAAGCCCTGTGACAGCTTAATGCCCAAACGGGTCTCCCAGGCATAGTGTAAGAGTGAAGCAGGACTAACTGGTGAGCGTCCCCAAAGCCTTTCTGAAATATGCAACTGCCTCAGATTTTCCATACTCCTCTGCTGGTTTTTCTTCTGAAAAGAGAGGAAGGAGATTTCTTGGCTGTACAGTTTAGGAAGCCAAATAAAGCAGCTTTCTGACTAATACGAAGGAAGCTTTTCAATACAGACTTTGTAAAATATAAATAAGAAAAACAGGGGAAGGGAGAAAGAATATGAAACATATGGAAAGGAAACGCTACTTAATCTTGTCCAGCTTTTAAAAACTACTCACAAAAATTAATAGCAAACTAAGTGGAGACAAATTATTCCCAAAACTCATATCCCTTCTCCTGCATTACTGTACTGTTAGCAATAGCAAATGCCAGTACAGATAAGAAAAAGTCTTGGGGGGAAAAGTACAAACTGCTAAAGGAATAGAAAGTGGCATTGCTCTTCTGAAAAGTTTAAAAGGGCCAAGCGCGCCCCCCCCCCCTTCAACCGCTCAGATAGAAAAACTCCACCTCGCCCCAGTCGTCTGGATCCTGGCCATCCCCTTTCCTTAATACCATCCCCGAGTCCCCAGGTGTCCAGCTTTTCCTCCGACGCTCCCCTGCCCGCTCCCCGCGGAGTGCTCACCGTCTGGTACAGGAGGGCCTCGCTGTCCCCGGGCTCTGACAGCTCGCTCAGCTTGCGGTCCCACTGCAGGACGCTCTGCTCCCCGCTCTCCAGCACCTCCATGGTGGCCTAGCCGCGCGGGGCGAGGATGCGGAGGGCAGGAGGGGACCGCGAGGTTGCTCGCTCTCCGTGTGCGTGCGTGAGTGTGTGGTGTGTGCACTTAGGAAGCAAAACCTTTGCTCCTCTACTGGAGAAAGAAGGGCCAAGGGCTCCCGTCCGGCGTCCTGGGAGGTCTGGGAATCGCCGGGGGACACAGGCCGTCCAGGGCTCGGACTGAAGGCTGCAGGGATTAAAGCGGGATTTGCGTCCAAAAGGAAAGCTGGCGATCAGCTCTCATCCCAGGGAACTCCCTTCGCAATAACCCACTTTACACCACCGACCGAGACACAAACTTTGAGACTCCCTAGGGCTCTTCAGCTCTGCTCCAGGACTCCCTCCCTCCAGGGAAGTGGCCAATCGAACACCCTCCTCACCCTCCAGACCAAATCAGAAGTCTTACTTTCCGCCATGTCCCGCCCACAAGGGGAAGGGCTGAGGAAAGTCTCCGCCCCGGCTTTGGAATGTAGGCGAGGCGTGACTTTGACGTCACCGGGGAACTCCTCCTATCTGGGTACGGCCAGCTGCTGGCTGTCGGGTTCAGCGGACCAATAGAGGGCTAGGGTCACTGAGAGATGGACTGGAGATTTGGCCAATGATAAAGGAGTGTCTGAGAGCGAAAGCCAATCAAGTAGCGACAAGAATACATTTTATACAAGGGAGGGCATGCTCAGTTCCTACCCTGGGAATCCCAGAAATTAACAAAATAGCTGAGACTGGGAGTGAGAGTTGAGGAGCAGCAGAAGTTCTCTGGAGAAATGAGGCAGACTTAAATACTGTCCGAAATATTTTCAAGTAGTTCAATTCATTTTTCTTCAGTTAATAATGTAAAAATTACTACATGGACACATGCTTAAATTCCCAGAATCCACAGTTCTTTACTGATGGACTCAAAGACTGGTATCATCAGTTTTAAAAGTGTCTTGAATTTGGTGGAGCTTATGTTGAGAAATGAAATTTCTATTTTTATCTGTTATATTTTTATTTTATATTTTTATTTTTTCCATTTTCCATGCACGCTTTGGAGTCCCCTCATGTCATAGTTTTCTCATGTTTCTCTTAGGTTCTTGGTTTTTCTGTTTCAAGGTGTTACTTACTTCATCACATTCTTTCCATAGACCATCCTTTCAATTTTTTCTAGAAAAAATTTTTCTAATTTTTTTTAACATAGCATTCAACGTGAGCAAGTTAGGTTAGAAACGTGGCAGATGCTCCTCAGTTTATAGTAGGGTTACATCCAGATAAACCCATAAAGGGGAAAGAAACTGGCCAAGTTTTTTTTTTTTTTCATTTTTTGGTGAAAACTGAAAATATTGTAAATCAAAGATGCATTTAGTACATCAAACCCATCAAACATCATACCTTAGCCCAGCCTACCTTAAACGTCCTCAGAGTACTTATATTCACTTACTGTTGGACAAAATCATGTGGCAGCACAGAACTCTGCAGAGTGCTGGTGGTTTTACCACTGTGATCACTGTCCACTGTCCAGCATCGTAAGAGTATCACGCCACACATCACTAAGCAGGAAGAGATCAAAATCTAAGTACAGTTTCTACTGAATGCATATCTTTCACACTAATGTAAAAAGTTGTAAAATCTTAGGTCAGCTGCATCTGTACATCCTCCTTGATAGAGGAATGCAAACATTTACCTGTCAAACCCTTCTGCTGTTGACAAAGTCTAACCCTGGTTATGCCCTGTGGTGGGCAGCTAATGTCCCAAATAATCCCACCTCCTGGTAGCCACTCCCTGGTGTAATTCCCTCCTTTCCAGTGTGTGCTAGTCCTGGATATAGTTTCTAACAAATAAAATATGGCAAAAGTGAGAGGATGTCAAAAAGATTCTGGCTCCTGACTTGTTTGTTTTCTTCTCCTCTTATTCTTGCCTATTCCAAGGAAAGCCCTGTGTGAGCTTCCCTGGGAGAGGGCCATGGAGCAGAGAACTGTGTCTGGTCAACAGCCAGCAAGGAACTGAGGCTCTCAGCCCATGAGCAACTGAATTCTGTTAATAACAACCATGTAAGTAACATTTAAGTGAGACTTGAGATGACCACAGCCTTATGGGATACTTGGAGCCAGAGAACCCGGCTAAGCCATGCTCAGATGAAGTACAGTGAGTTTTTTAGCCACTAACTTTTTCCTTTGTAAAATAGGTTTTACGATCATTGACACCCTAAATGGATTGGTTAAGGCTGTCTGTATACTCATGTTAATAATAATGTCACAGTCCCTCATGGTGAGCTTCTCCAGCCTCCTTTGTTTTGTGTATAGTTCTGTTAAATGTACACACAACTTCTTACGAGCTCATCTTCCTGTTTTTCATCTTGAAAACTAAAGTCTTTCCCTTCCCCTTTCCTTCTTAGGACATGGCAATGTAGTTGACTCTCCGTTCTAGCTACTCTCACCTCCCTTATGAAGTGGCAGCACTTGTTCCCCTATCAGATACTCGTAGGTTAACGGCACTTGGATGACCAGAAATCAGATTTCCTCAAACCAAAATCAGATGCATAAGCCAAAGAGATGTTTTTCTGATTTTTTTTCTTAACATGACTTGTTATCTTCCCACGTGGCAATCTGTTCATAAACTTGTTTTACCTGCTTTCTCTCCCGCCATCAAAATTATTAAGATAAATTGTATCCAGGATTGGGCACTTCACAGATCCCAACATTATGAAATAGAATCCACCTTCTAAGCTGACTTGGCCCCATTCATCAGCGTGCTTTCTGTTCAACTATTCAAGTAAACTAAATATTACTCTATCAAATTTCCCCTTTCCATGTGCTATGATTTTTGTTTCTCCACAAGGATTTTTTTAAGTACCTGGTAAATGCCAGACACCACTGGATCTACATTTTTCCAGATGTGAAACTCCCTTAAAGAGAAGTGAGGTTTTGTCACTCATCCTTTTCCTAGACTGGTGCTCACAAGAGAACAAGGCCGTATTCATCAGTCAAGACATGGAACCTGATGGCAGAAAGATAGACACATTCACTCAATACTAACATGAAACCAATCTATAAACAACTACACACCCAGAAGTATAATCTAGCAAGAGGGAAGGGAGAGGGGAGAAAGGGGAGAGGGGAACAGGGAGGGCTATTGGGGAGATCTCACCTAATTGTGCACATTGTGATGGCGTTCACCACACCCCCTGGGTGAAGGGCTCAACTAGAACTTGAACTTTACATTGTTTTCAATTCAAAGATAACCTAAACATTTGTAACCTCATATTAATCTGAAACTAAAAAAAGATAGATGCATTCCAGTCTGTTATTTCTTGGGCTGTCCTGGAGTTGGAGCTGAAATTTGACTCTAAGACTTATCCAAATGAGTGTCACAGCAGCCAAGGAAATTGAAGTTGGTGATGGTTAGAAAGATGTGATGATCTTGGTTCTTTTTCCTCAACTGCAATCTTTCTAGGAGATTCAGACAATCTAGCCTATGAATTGGAGAAAGAGTTCAGTGGCAAGGCTATTGCCTTTGTTTCTAGGAGGAAAAGTCTGTCTAAGCCAACAATATGAAGAGGCTGTACAAAATGAGTAAAAGTGTCCCTGGCTCCAACATCCTGACACCCATACGTGGTGCAAGCCCTGAAGACCTGGTCTTCCAAGAAGAAATTGTGGACTGGAGAATGTGCGTGAGAAGAACAGGAGTTGGCTCATCAACATCTCCCTCTCTAAATGGTGAGGGTTAGAAGGGGAAGGGCAGGCGAGAGAGGGCATCATGTCAGGGCTGCCTAGTCTATCGGTTCCCCAGGGCTGCAGTAGCAAGTGGATGGCTTGAAACAACAAAGATGTATTGACTCACAGCTCTCCAGGCTAGAGGTCCACAGTCAGGTGTCAGCAGGGCTGTGGTCCCTCTGTCTCGAAGGAGACTCTTTCTTTGCCTCCCCCGGCATCAGGTGTAGCTTTCAATCTCTGGCATGCCTTGTCTTGCCACAGCATCATGCTCATCATGCTCATCTCAGCCTCCATTGCCACGCGGCACCTCACCTCATGTGTCTGTCTCTTCACACGGCATTCTCTTTCTGTGTGTCTCTCCTCCCCTCTGCAGAACAACTTTATCTTACCTAATTCCAATTATAATGACTCTGCTTCCCAGGAAGTTGTATTCTGCGGTTAGGACTTCAACCTGTCTTTTCTGAGGATACATATTCAGCCTGTGACATCTACCAAGCCACCATATCGACCTTACCACACAAGTTCATAATACAAGCATGCCTGTTCCTTGGTCATTTTACTGCCCCCAGACATAGTTCTTTGATTCTTTGATAGATCCATCACCGCCTTAAAAAGGCAAAACAAAGCACATGCCTCCTTCCACTTGGGATTTAGCTTCCCTGCAATGACCCCTGAATGTGTACCCCACCCTCTTCTGCTCCTCTGCCTCTCTTTTGTACATGGCCACTCAAGAGCTCATCTCAGCCTGTCCCTACAGACACTGAGTTCTCCCAGGACAGCCGCCTTGTTGTCCTTATTAAACCACTTGTGTTATACAATCAGCTTTGCATTTTTGAGACCTTGGTCTTGACAAGTTTTTTTCCTGTGAGTATAACAAAGCTTGTAATCCTGTCTATTTCATCTCTAAACTTTGACTCAATGAATTCTGATGAGTGTCTATTTTGCTCCTCAATGCTCTTGACTTTCTATCTTTTGAGAATTTTATTGCTTTTGTAACATGTTCTATTATTCTACTCCAACATGGAGAGAAAGCAAACATTACCCTTTGACCTTCCTTCTTTTAATTCATCCTATTACAACAGTCTTCAGTACAACAGAAATTTTTCAGCTTGGAGGAATTTCTTTCAATTATGATTGTGTAATCAGAAATGGTGTTTTTCACTTTATAACATTATTCTTTCTTGTAAATAAACCAGAGAGGAGACAAGATTTCCAGGAGAATCTACAGTCTTTCCTTAGGGAATCCAGGATAGTAGGATAGACCTTGGGAGTCAAAAAAACATTGGTAATGAAAACTCAGATCACTGGGATAAACTCAGAAAAACGAAAGGAGTAGAGATTGCCACCAACCTCTGAGAAGTCCACCCTGGATAGACAGGGAGCCAGAAAGGACTAGAAGGCACAGGTGCCTCGGCTGCAGATGTAGACTGCTTATGCACATAGCCTCTGAGGGGTGTCCTGGATGCAGCCACTCTGCCGGAAGCCAAGGAAACTTGTCTATCTGGGTCTGGCTCTCAATTTCCAGGACAGTGTGACTATGAAGATCTGTGGGGCAGTGCCTTTGAAATCTAATAAAAATCTGTAAAATGTGATTAAG